CAGGCTGGCTAAAGACATGCATAACTTCCTCAGCAGGCTTTGGTAAGGTTCGGGATACAGTGGGAACCCAGGGTGGGCCAAACCTCAAACAAACCCTTTCTATTTATGATGGATATTTAAAAATCAACAGTATAGCTGGGCATGGTGGCACACTCCTTTATCCCTAGCACTTGGGAGCCAGAGACTCTGAGTTTGAGGCCAGCCTGGTCTACACAGTGGGTTCCAGGCTGGCTGGGGCTACAGGGAGACCCTGTCTCAAGCAAGCAAGCAAGCAAGCAAACAAAAACCAAACCAAACCAAAAGCCACCCCCCACCCCACAAAAACCAAAACGACAACACAAAATCAGTGTATAACTTTGCCAGTGGTTTTGAACAATGCCAGTAAAAAGCGGGAATACACTTGCAAAATGAAGGTAACTTCCTGACAAGCAATCTGCATATATCATTGCACTTAATTTTTTTAACATTTGTTTATTTTCTGGGGGAGCAGCGAGGGACGTGGGGGTATGCATGCTTGCCACCATGTACACGAGGTCAGAGGACAACTTGCAGGAGTCAGTTTTCCCCTTCTTTCATGTGAGTCCTGGGGGTTGGACCAAGGCCAGCAGGCTTCGTAGCAAGCACCTTTACCTCCTGAGCCATCTTGTGGACCCAGTACTTAATTGTTTTTGTTGTGGTGGTGCTGGAGAGCAAACCCGGGGCCTTAAGCATGCTAGGCAGGTCTCAACCACTGAGCTATGCCACAACTATTCTTGTTTTTTGAGACTGTCTCCTTGTAGCCCCAGCTGGCCTGGAACTTGCTATATAGACCAGGCTGGCCTCAATCTCACTAAGATCTACCTGCCTCTGCCTCCTGAGTGCTGGGATTAAAAGTGTATGCCACCATGCCAGGCCATAAACTGTCTTTTAAGTAGAACTGACAAAAAGAGAGAGATGGGGTTTCATTATGTTACCCAAGGTGGCTCTAAACTCCTGGGCTCAAGAGGTCTTCCTGCTTCAGTCTCCTGAGTAACTGTGACTACAGGTGCACACCACTGTGCCTGGGAATGTAACGGTGATGGTGTCAACACCTAGGGCTGCACCTGGTGTGTAGCAGGAACTTGGCAAATGCTGAGTTATGTTAAACCCCATAAGGGAAAAGATATGGAGCTGGTCTCAAGAGGAAATATGCATGCTCACCTCCAGGGGATCGAATATCACTGTTGGCGGTGTGATGTTATTCATCTTTGCAGCTTTCTGGATGATCTGTTCCGCCTCTTTGAATCTCCTCTGGGTTAGCAACCACCGGGGCGACTCAGGAATAAACCTAGAATTCATTTGCAATGGTTTGTTACCTTTTACAGCAGCACAATTTGATACCAGCAACCCTAACCTCCTCCAGATCTTAAAATGATGTAAATAACATGGCAAACATCTAGTTTTTGTTTGTCTTTAAAAAAATTTATTATTTTTATGTGTATGCGTGTATTGCCTGCATGTATGTAAGTGCACCTGTGTCATGCAGTGCCCGTGGAGGTTAAGAAGAGGGTGTTGGATTTCCTTGGAACTGGAGTTACAGATGGTTGTTAGCTGCCATGTGAGTGCTGGGAATTGAACCCAGGTCCTTTGCAAGAGCAGCCAGTGCTCTTAATCATTGAAGCATCTCTCCAGCCCAAACATCTAGTTTAAAAAAAAAACCCATAGCCCCAGCTGGCCTGGAACTCACTATGTAGGCCAGGCTGGCCTCAAACTCACAGAGATCTTCCTGCCTGTGCCTCCCAAGTGCTGGGATTAAAGGCATGCACCACCACGCCCGGCTTTAAAATATATTTATTGTTAATCAGCACATAAACTCTATTTCTAGGGTGTGACGGTTCAATGCATCTATACAATATGCAATGATCAGTTGGTCTTTTTTTAAAAAAGATTTATTTGCATTATTTTAAATTATGTGTGCCTGGGGGGGTGTATTATGTGCATGTGAGTGTGTGTGCCTGTGGAAGCCAGAGACATCAGAACCCTGGAGCTGGAGTTGCAGGGCAGCTGTAAGCCACCTGGTGTGGGTCCTGGGAAGGGAACTTGGGTCCTCTGCAAGAGTAATAAGTGTTCTGAACGACTGAGTCATCTCTCCAGCTCCCAGTTTGTCTTTTTAAAGATTATAGGGAGGGGGGGTCATATTAAGATTGGTCATAGGAATAAATAAAAGAACATTCTGGTTTCAAGTTTCTTGTGTGTGCGTGTGAACATGCATGTACAGGTGCATGTATGTATGCTGGTGGTTGTGCACATGTGTGTGCATACATGTGGAGGCCAGAGGATGACCTAGGGTATGATTCTTCCTCAGACACCATCCACTGTGTTTGAGATAAGGTCTTTCATTAGCTTGGATTTCACCAGGCAGGCTGGGCTAGCTGGCCAGGAAGCCCCAGGGATCCACCTGTCTCTACCTCCCCTGCACTAGAATTACAAGCCCATACCACCATGCCTGGCTTTTTTTACATGAGTTCTAGGGATCAAACTCAGAACCTCATGCTTGCCAGACACAAGCACATTCACACGACTGAACCATTTCCCCAGCCTCCTGGTTTCAAACTTCTGATCAAATTGCAGGAGCAATCCTAAGTTGTGTTGAGGCCAAGCTTGGACCATGAGGGCTGACCCTAACTTTTGGGTGTTTAGGACAGGGCAGCTTCTTAAACACTCAAAAAGCCAGTGTTACTCCTAAAAGAACCACGGCCAGTAGACTGCATGTGCCTGGAGGGAAGACCTGTCTTTTTCAGTGTCTGATCCTGGGGGGACCCTGATATGCCAGCTGGTGAGAGTCACATGTTTACTTGGGATAAAGAATGGCCAGGGCACCTGTGTTCCTAGAACTTCTATCTGTGGATTTCAACAGCTTCCCAGATCAGCAAGTACCCCAACCAGTTTTAGGGAGATGTGTGTACACATGCTGTCATCTTTATTTTAATGTCTAAAGCTTAGTTAAAAATTATAGTCTATGTACATTGATAACTGATGTTCAAACACACCTGTGAATATATGACTCTTTTCTAATTTGTATTTGTTTTCTTTTTCAAATCTGTGTGTGTGTGTATATGTGCAGGTGCACGTGTGCCATGGCGTGGATGTGGAGGTCAAAGGACAACCTTGGGGTTGGTCCTAACCTCCTACCTTATTTGAGACAGTTTCTTGTTCATCTCTGCATAAACCAGGCTTGCTGGCCTGTGGGGTCCTGGAGACTCTCCTCTCTCTTCCCCCTGAACATCTTGCCATAGGGGCACTGGCTTTATGTAAGTTCTGGAGACCCGAAGTCAGGTCCTCACACCTGTGTGGCAAGTGCTTTGTTCCCTGAGCTGTCTTTCCAGCCCCTAGTTTGTATTTCTCTGGCTTTCTTAGCCAGTCTCCTGGCTGGATCTTATTTTTCCTTACCTATGTGTCAGTATTTAGTTTTCTAGTAGATGCAGGCCCTCCTACCATGAAGGTAGACACAGGCCCTTCCAGCATGACCAGGCCCCAAAAGATGCACTTACAGTCAGCTCATAGCAAATACAATGTATCAGATGGCTAACCACCAGCTCCCATCCCCTGTCCACTTAGCACCTGGCTTGGAAAATGAGCCCAGTTTGCATGTTTTCAGAAAATGATCTTAGTGGGTCCCTGTAGGACTGTGATGTGTTAGGTCATAGATCTGCAATGATGGGACATTTCTGTCACGTCCTGTATCTGTGTTGTCTAGTACAGCAGTCTCGTACCACATGTGGCTGTTGAGTAGGTAGCATAATTACAGAAAGGAAAATTTCTCTCTCTCTTTCTCTCTCCCCCCCTCTCTCCCTCTCCCCCTCTTCTTCCCTCCCTTCCAATCAACAGGGTCTCATATAGACCAGGCTGGCCTCAAACTCCCTATCTAGCAAAAGATGACACTGAACTGTTCCTCCCCCTCCACCGGGATCTGCCACCTTTTCTGAAGGATCTTGGCCGTCACTGGCCTTGGCGTCCTGGTTTGGTTTGTCCTGAAATTGCAGTGCTTTCTCCATCCTGAATCTACGGCTTCCTTGCCCACTGCTGGCCCTGCCCCCTACACATATGTACTTACACCTGTAACCATTCATTGCCAAGCCTTTGAAAAGGAACTTGGGGTTCTCTCTCTCTCTCTCTCTCTCTCTCTCTCTCTCTCTCTCACACACACACACACACACACACACATACACACACACACACACACACACACACACACACAAATCCCAAACCATCTATCTGTAGTGGATCTGTGTAGGTGGGTGTCTCTCTCATTTCTAGGCTGCTGTTGGGATCTGTGCTATCAAATTACCTATTGTGTGTGTGTGTGTGTGTGTGTGTGCGCGTGCGCGCGCGCACACCACACCTCAAGCTGAGGTGATTATCCAAATCTTGGTGTAGCCCATGAAGCTGAACACTATAGTCTCTGTAGTTTCACTTCCAATGTCATGGGTGGGGTGTTGCTGGGAGTCTATCTCATTCTAAGTAGGCATCAAATACACAGCACCCCAAGCACCTCACTCCCCATCCCAGCCCACTGATGGATGCTTCTGGAGTCTCAGCCTCAAGGATGACATGTTCAGGAAAAAGCTCCTTTTCAAAATAATATTTAATTTATTATTTTTATTATGTGTATGAGTGTATTGCTTGCATCTAGGTAGGTGCATCCGTGTTGTGCACTGCTTGACGAGGTCAGAAGAGGTCATCAGATCCCCTGGAACTGGAGTTATGGACAGTTGTTAACTGCCATGTGGATACTGGGAATCGAACCCAGGTCCTCTGTAAGAGCAGCCAGTGCTCTTAACTGCTGAGTCAGCTCTTTAGCCCTGCTCTTTTGTTTTTATAGGAAAATGGAAAGATTTCTGCTAAAGCCTCCGGATGTGCACTGGCTCATTAGCACTGGCCCCTGGCTGCCCTCTGCCTGGGGCAGTCCTGTTCCTGGTACAGTGTGCCCATAGCCAGTAGCACTTGGACCAGTCCATGGTTGATGGAAGAAGGTAGAGCAGAGTGAGGACCAGAGGTGCCTGCTGTCCCTTGTGGTCCTCAGGCAGCAACCTCCTAACCTGTGTATGGGCCGATCCCACTCTCCTACTGCTGGTCTCCCACTGTCTCTATCACTGATAGAATCGTACGGTAACGAAGTTGAGTGCAACATATTTTAAAAGTACTGATCCGTTAGATCAAAGCAGCAGCTAGGACTGGGAACAAAGTTTTTGAAAATCACTCATTTGCCAAGGCAGAAAATAACTGTGTCTTGACAGAACCTCTGGTCTCGCTCTGGAAATTCAGTCAGCAAAGGGGTTGAAGAACGGGACAGAGGGTGTGAGGGCGACGGCAGTGAGGGGAACAGCTTCTCTTCATTCCAGAGCATTGCTCTGCTCTTGGGAACCTGGGTGCTGGTGATGGCTAACATTGTCAACCTGACAGGATCTAGATCACCTAGGCAATGAACCTCTGGGCATGCTTGTGGGGGACTTTCTAGATCAGGTTAATGAAGGTGGCAGACCTGAATGTGGCTGGGCTGAATAAAGGGAGAAAGCGAGCTGAGCACCAGCATTTGTCGCTCTCTGCTTCCTGACCGTGGGTGCACCATGGGTCACAGATGCCTCATGCTCTTTCTGCCATGGCTTCCCTGCCACGATAGACCCCTAAACCATGAGCCAGAGTAAACTCCTCCTTCCTTTGGTTGGTTTTATTAGATATTTTGTCATAGCAATAGCTGCCTGTATCTTTAGTGCCAAGGTATCTGACACCCTCTTCTGGCCTCCATGGACATTGCATGCACATTGTGTACATACATACATGCAGGCACATACACATTCACATAAAAACCAACAAACAACCTCTTCAAAGAAATACCCTTCTTTTTCAGCCAGGCATGGTGGATTCCAGCACTTGGGAGGCAGGGACAGGAGAATCTCTGTGAGACCGAGGCCAGCCTGGTCTACATAGTGAGACCTTGTCTCAAAAAACCCAAACTCAAACCAAATCAGTCCAAACAACAAAACTCCTATTTTTCAAATTCCAGTAAATTAAGAAAAAAACAAAAGGCTCTCTCTCCAGATATGACCCCCACTTGTTCCTGCACACAAACCTCATCCTAAAATTTACCCCTGAATAAACCATAAAAAGACGAGTGTGGAGTAGGCCAGGCTGAGCCATCTAGACAGGCCAGGCCAAGATGGTTACTTTCAACTCCTGTGGGTGCATAACATCTGCAACAAGATAAAGGACCTTCTAGACAATTCCCCGGGCAGATGTCACAGGGCAACCACAAGATCTAAATCATAAATTCCAAAAAGTGATCAAAGGAACGAAAGCTTTTTTACCATAATCACATAAGCAAGTGAAAAATCAAGCAGTTCAGTAAAACCAAATCTCCTTTTCTTTAAACACAAAAAAGTAAAGAAATGGGAAATTCTCAAAAGGGGGCATGAGAACCTTATTTCCATTTTTTAAGTCTTTTACCTCACTTGAAAACCTCCAGTTAATTAATATCTGGTAAGACTGAGCCTAGACTCTCCAAGCTTTGCTGTTCCCCTTACTGCTGTGCCATATTTAGGTTAGGGTGGTACTTGAGTGCTTGCCGAGTGTGCAAAGTCATAGTTCAATCTTAAGCTTGAAAAGAATGCTTCCAGCTGGGGACTATAGTAAGGGGGGGAAAACCTTCTCTAAGACTCTTAAATTTACTGGGGTGGGACTGTTGCTCAGTTGGGAGAGTGCTTGCCTAGCATGTATGACACTCTGGGTCTCATCTGCAGCACTGCATACACTGGTTGCAATAGTAAACACCTATCATCCTAGCATTTGGGAGGTAGAGACAGAAGGACAAGGAGTTCAAGATAATCCTGGGCTACATATCGAGGAGCCTGGGGTCAGCCTGGCATACGTGAGACTCTGCCCACCCCCGATTTGTCATCACTTTTTCAAGATAAAGCACACAAACAGGCACATCTTGGCTGCTAATTATGAAATGTAATTACAGATCCCGTGGTCTTTGTAGAACTGGTCCCAGGACCCCTGGTGGGTATGTGGCATCTCCCACAGTGGCATAGCCAGACACAGTAGTTCCTGTGCTTGTCATCAAGTTATTCAGGAGGCCCAGATGGGAGGACCACTTGAACCAGGAGTTCCAGACTAGCCTGGACAACATAGCAAGACCTTATCTAAAAATAACCTGTGGTTATAGTGTAGCTCAATAGTCAAGTGCTTGCTAGCATACACAAGGTCCTGGGTTCTATCCCCAGCACTGCAAAACAGACATCAACAAAACAGGTGTAATATTTGCATAGAACTATGCACATCCTCCTGTATACCTTTATCTGTGGATTACTTATAATACTTAACACAATGTGTATAGCTTCATTTTGGGGAGAGTGAGGATGGACCTTAGGCACACTAGGCAAGCATTCTATCCAGAGTCACCATCAGCCTCTCTATACCTAATACAGAGCAAACACAGTTTAAATAGTTGCTGGGGGCTGGAGAGGTGGCCCAGCCGTTAAGAGCATTGGCTGCTCTGGCAGAGGACCCAGGTTCCACTCCTAGCACCCACATAGTGGTTAACAACCATCCATAACTCCAGTTCCAGGGAAGTCCGACACCCTCTTATCACCTCTGCTGGCACTGCATGACACAGGTGCACTTATATACATGTAGGCAATACATTCATACACATAAAATAAAAATAATAAATAAAATATTTAAATAGTTGCTGTGCTGTATTGTGTAGGGAATAACAAGAGTAACAGTCTGAACTTGCCCAAGATGGGATTTTCTGATTCTCCTGTTCACATCCACAGATGTAGAGCTAACGGGTACATAGGGTGAACAGCACCGTGGCTGAGTACAGAAAGGGGTTTTCTAAAGAAGAGACGTGCCAAAAGCAGGGGGCAGAGTTAGGAAAGAAACCTGACCCACAAACAGTGAAAACGCGTAAGAGCTGGGAAGGGGCAGAGGTTGGAAGCGAATCAGAAGTCCTGAGACCAGGCTTTGTGGGACAATCGGAGTCCAGTGTATAAACCCACAGAGATGCAGAGAGTGTTGGATCTTGGAGGTGCTGTCAGGGCAAGCCACAGTGCAGAACGTGCAGAGGCAGCTAAGTAAGCACCAGGCTCATCTCCGAGTGCCACAGCAGAGGGCTGACCCGGAAGGAGCAGGCACACTCACCACCACAGCGGGACACACAGCACCCCTGGCAGCGTCAGTGCCAGCAGCAGCATCCTCCAGTCTCGGATGAAGTAGGCGAACAGCGGTAGCACCATGTAGCCAATTGCAAAGAATGTGCACACTCCCAAGGTAGAGTATATGATTCGAACTGACTTGCCAAGAATTTCTGTTCCTGTTCAAAACAAGGGAGGGGTATTAGCATTTTAACTCTCTTCAACATGTTTTTTTTTTTTTTAAGATTTGTTTTTATTTATGTGTGTAGGTGTTTGTGTCAGCCACATGTGTGCAGGTGCCTGCAGAGGCCAGAAGAGGGTGTTAAAACCCCTAGAGCTGGAGTTACAGGTGGTAGTGAGCTGCCTGATCTAGGTGCTGGGAACTGAACTCAGGTCTTCTGGAAGAGCAGCAAGCATTCCTAACTGTGAAGCTCTCTCTCTAACCCTAACATTAACTTAAAAAATATTTATTTAATAACCACATTGATTAGAAGAAGCATTTCATTACATATTCAATAACAATTTCCAGAGCAAAGATGCATCTCTTTCAAAATTGGTTGTAAATTTTTAGATTCACAGTTGAATTAATACAGTTATACAATATTGAACTCAGTTTAAACGCTATAAGATGTAAAGTTGAATGAGGACAGTTATACAATATTGAACCCAGTACCATTTCATTTTAAAATATACTGTTTCATACAGAAAAACTCATTTTTTTTTTTTGGTCTTTTTGAGACAGGGTCTCCCTGTAGCCCTAGCTGGCCTGGATTTGCTATGGAAACCAGGCTGGCCTTGAACTCACAGAGATCCACCTGCCTCTGCCTCCAGAGTGCTGGGATTAAAGGCGTGCGCCACCACGCCTGGCAAAAAAACTCATTTTTAATGCTACTAACACTTAGATGTTTGCATATGTGTCTAGCATTCACTTTTTGAGACAGGGTTTTTTTCAGTACTGGGGATTGAACTCAGGACCCTGTGCATGCTCGGAAAGTGCTTGAAGTCCCCAGGCCAACTGTAGCTGGCGATAGCATTACCTGAAATTGGAGTCCAAGCCATATCACTTAGAAAAAACGGAAAATGCATCTGTCCTACCTCACAGCTCATAATAGGAACATCAGGGCAGGGGATGGTGGGAAGCAACCCAAGATTTGGCACCTCCTGGAAGGATGGGTTTTCAGGAGAATTTATAAAGTCATTGATTTGCACAAAGGCCATCTTATGTTACATGACGGTCATGCCCATCTTCTGAGAATGCTGCAGTTTTAGAATAAGAGATCCCGTGTGGGACGCTGTTCCGGTTTGTTTCTTCATTGCTGTTGCAAAATACTCTGACCACTACCAACTTGGGGAGGAAAGGGTTTATTTAGCTTACATGTCCCAGGTCACAGTTCATCCGGGAGCCCAAGGCAGGAACTCAGGGTAGGAACCTGGAAGCAGGAGCTGGAGCACAGGCCATGGAGGAACACTGCTTACTGACTCGCTCCCATGGCCCCTGCTCAGCTTGCTCTCTTATCCAACACAGGCCCACCTGCCCAGGGGTGGCACTACCCACAGTGGGCTGAGCCCTCCCACATCAGTCAACAATCCAGAAAATGTCCCACAGACATGGCCACAGGCCAGTCCAATGGAGACAATTCCCCAACTGAGGCTCCCTCAACCCAGGTGTGCCAAGTTGACACTAAAGCTATCCAGCACAGAAGCAGAGAGACTAACTTGTCTAGAAGACAAGAGGTTGCTCTTCTGAGGGCAGGGCTGTATGGAGTCAGGGTTTACATAGCCTGCCTACAATGCTCTACTATATGAAAACAGTCATTAACCCATCAGGCAACAGTAGAGTCTCCAACTGTCAGGGTACCCTCCCTATACTTGAACCCTGAGACATGATACCCAGAAACCTAACTGGCTCTAAAGGTGCCTAGAGCAGGGATCCCAATGTTCCCTAGGCCATGTTGTATCTATAGATCAGCTCCAGGCAAACAGTCCTTGATGGGACAGCAAGGAAGGAGCTGTTCTGGACTGTGACAGTCCAGGTGCTGGACACATATCTGGTGAACAGTGCAAGAGCCCAAGCTCACATGAACGGACACTATTTGGGGAAGGACATGCTTGCAGCCCTGACTCTTGCCCAGCACAGCATCACAATGGGTCTCTCAGAAGCTGATCATCCAGAGATGGTGTTACTCAGAGCTCTTGCTCCAGGTAGAAAGTTCTAACAGAAGGTCCTCTTGTCATGGAGCCCTAGCTCTTTCTAGAATCTACTCTGGGGCCTCAGACCCAAGGGCAGAGACATGACCAAGGACAGTGGCTTTCACTCTTGGGTGAGATCTGCCCACACTACAGAAAACTAGCCCAGAAAATACAACACAGACTGTGACTGCTAATACTGTTCGTCAACTCGAAGAATCTGGACTCACCTAGGAGACAAACTTCTGGGCATGTCTGTGAGGGAGTTTCTAGATTGGATTGATTGAAGTGGGAAGACTTCCCTAAATGTGGGAAACACTGTTCCATGGACTGAATAAAAAGGAGAAAGTGAGCAGAGCACGAGCGTTCGTCGCTCTCTGCTTCCTGACTGCGTATGCCATGTGACCAGTGCCTCAAGACCTTACCACCACTTCTTCCCCACCATGAAGGACCTCACCCTCAAACTGTGAGCCAGAAAAAACCCTTCCCTCCTTAAGTTTCTTCTGTCAGGCATTTTGTCACAGCAACGAGAATTGATACACAGACCATCTGAAGGTCATTTAGCTTGACTTTCAAGAGAGATTTTTCTCAGTCATCTTTATGTTCCCTGAGCACAAGCTGAGGAATTCATTCCAGAGAGCAGCAATCCTGACTCTGCTACTGTTGGCCTCCAGTCCCAGCTTCTCCATCCTGTTCCACCTCATTTGCTCTGTTTTCCTCATCAGAACTGTCTTGACCTCAGTGATTCCACCTCTACTCTGCCCCCTTTTCTTTTTAAAAATTTTTTACTATTTTTATTTTATGTATATGCATGTATTACATGTATGTAAGTGCACCTGTGTCATGTAATACCTGTGGAGGTCAGAAGTCAGTGTTGCATCCTCTGGAACTGGAGTTGGGGATGGTTGTTAGCCACCATGTGGGTGCTAGGAACCAAATCTGGGTCCTCTACAAGAGTGGCCAGTACTCTTAACCACTGAGCCATCTCTCCAGCCCCTCTTGTTTCTTAAGACAGGGTCTCATGTAACTGAAGCTGAGTTTGGAATCCTGACCTTCCTGCTTCCTGCTCCCCAGTACTGGGATTTCAGGCTTCATCCACCATGCCAGGCTAATGATTTCCTCTTGAGCAAATGACTTAAAAGGGGAGGGCCCATGCTAGGTGCCTCCCTGCCTTCCACATGCTGACCATACCTCTAACCCCAAGGCTTCCCTCAGCCTGAAGTCCCATTTCCATGAGTGATGTCTGGCTAGTTTGCGTTTCTTGAGTGTTAGTTCTAGATTTCCTTACTTCATGAATGACGTCCTACTGTGGCCTTGTTGTCAAACTCTTTGGCTGGGATTTTGATATGACATGAATGGGGGTGGGAGTTGTGCTCTTCCCAAGCAGAAATCCAGAAGTGAAGCAGCAAAGAATTGATCATGAAAAAGAAAAGTTCACAGGGACAAGTGAGACCCTTGTAGGAGTGTAAAGCTGGGGAGAGAAGTTGTAGCACTGGGTCAGAAGAGTCAGAACCAGAACTAGGTATGAACTCTGTAGCACACCAGGTGAGGGTGGAGTTCTGCCTGCCTATGGATCAACGTAGATGCCATAAAGCTAAATGCTAAATGCTCCTTATTAGCACCGCCATCTTCTCTCTGACTTTTAGGCCCTCACCCTTTCTTGTACAATGTTGTGGTTTGAATGTGAAATGTTCCCCATAAACTCATATGTTTGAACACTTTGTCCCCAGTGGGTCATGCTGTTTGGGGAGGTTATGGAACCTTTAGAAGGTGCAGCCTTGCTGGAGGAAGCACGGCATTGGGGTGGGCTCTGGCCCCACTTCCTGTGCTCTCTGCTTCCTGACTGCCAGGCCTTCCCCACCGTGATGGACAGCACCCTTCTGCGACTGTAAGCCAAAATAAACCCCTTTCTCTCTTGAGTTGCTTTTTGTTAGGATCTTTTATTACAGCAACAGAAAAATAAGCACTATACCACTGATAATGATGATGACCACCACCACCACCATCACCACCACCACCATCATCACCACCACTATCACTACCACCACCACCACTATCATCACCATCACCACCACCACCATCACCACTATCATCATCATCACTACCATACCATCATCATCACTGTCACCACCACCATCATCATCACTGTCACCACAACCACCATCATCATCACCATCAACCATCACCATCACCACCACCATCACCATTACCACCACCACCACTACCACCACCATCATCACCATTACCACCACCACC